TGGAACCCTAAAGGTAGGCCCTGCCCGTGTTATCGCAACCTGCGTTGGGCACCAAATAGATCCCGGTCCATTCTTTTATAGAGTTCAACTCCCGAGAGTGAGTTTCTTTGTCATTAAATGACAGACATCACTCTCGGAGTGAGCAAATTTTGCTGCTTCTACATGCGCGGAAAAGGCTGGCAGGGAACCGCAAACGAGGCAACCCTTTCAACCTCCACTTGCTCGTTTTCGTCAGATTTTGTGTCAGCCGCCAACACTGAAGACTCGCCTACGGACAGTTCCCCCTCATCATTTTTCGCGGCCGAAACCTTATTGCCCGCATTTCATGCAGAAATAAATTATCCGTGAATTTATTCGTGCAAATATCAAAACGTTATACTAAGTATTAAAAAGGCGTATATGTATCTTAATCGTGAGGGCGACGACGCAGGTAGCAAAACATATATTTTGGAAACAAACTAGAGGGTTGGGCTGGCAGTGCTGCCGCGCAGCGCTAGTAGCCCTGGAAAGCCAAAGGCTTCGCACCATCAGCGGGGTATTTTGCTCTCTTAAACGCACTACTTTTAATGAAAACTTACAAATTCGTAGTCATTTTCAATCAGCCGGGAGGGATTCGTTGTCCTCACGGTGCTCTCTCACTGTAATTTGTAATAACCCTCCACGAATTCATGATTATACTGGAATGTAAAAACGCAGGCTATTTTGTTCCAAAAAGTGAAGCACCATTCGGATCCCTATACATTTCAGTCTTATCTATTTAAGAAGTATATTAATACCTATAGTGGAGCTAAGTAGTCATGCACTGACTGGCTCCGAGAGCACCTGGTACCGTGTACCAGGTGTCCACAAGAGTGACGGGTCACTCTTTATGTAACATGGGGCACACTGGATTGTACCCCGTTACATCCTCCCGCACTTAACTGAGAATCACCTGATTCTCCAATCACAACTGATTCTCCAATCAGAAGTGAGAGAATTAAAACACCAAAAGGTGAACTCTCACACTGAGCAGCCACGAGACTGGCGCGGCTCTCAGTCACATCCACAGTGACTTGTGCTGCCAAAGCTCACTGGGATTTGCATCCCTATGCTCACAACTGTGTTGGCCGCAAAGCCTCCACTCAGAGCTGCCTTAGCTCCTGCGCTAGCGCGCGTACAGTGCTTTGGCACAGGGTGCAATAGCATCCGAACGTGTGGCATTCGCCCACAGTTCGCACCAGAGGACACGACAGTCCTCGCAAACGCGTCCGGAGCATGGTGTCTCCCGCGAGGGACGACACCGAGAAGGGCAACACCTTCCCCAGCACTAGAGGGAGCTCTCCGCTCACCTCGAGCCATGCCTTTGGCTCCAGCAAGGATCCATCCTTGCGGGCAGAGCTTCTGCCACGCTCTCTTCGCGTCTTGGTCAACATACCAACGGCGCGTAGGTGTTCTTCATCGACACCGTGTACCGTGACGGTACACAACCGTGGTGTAGGTGTCTCCCATCGACACCATGTACCGTACGGTACTAACCTTTGGTGCGGTACGCCCACCACAAGGTTGCCATGTTTGGCGGCAGCAGCTTCTGCTGTGCTGTCGCCTGAACGGATTCATGGCCAGTGCTCACATCATGCACGACGCATGTGCAAGCACAGTGTACAGGTCCATGGGACCGTACACGAGGTACGCTGTGTACGATACGTACCACAGCCACCATAAGTGCTCCGTGCACTTCATGTGTGTCATGCACGACGAGTTCATTACGTGGAACTCCTGGCACGTTGCTCGACAGCAGCCAGTGCCGATGCACGGTACGTGCGTTGACTCACAGCGTCCAGAGCGCATCGGGTCGTGGTATGGTGCATATCCTTTGCACCTATACCAGTGTCTGTCACAGACACCATGTACCCTGATGGTACTCGACCGTGGTGGGGCATCTCTCACCACCATGCCACTGCGGCGTTGGTGTCTGGCATTCTCACCGAGTACTCACGGGTACCAACCCATGGTGAGACAAGCTGCCATCACCACGGTGTCATGCTCGGCGCGGCACCAGTTACGACTGCGTGCCTTGCCTCGACCACCACCTGGTCAGTTGTGTGTGCACTCGTGCACCACACTTGGGTTATGGCTCCACGGCCCATTATACCCGGCGCGTTGCGTACATCACGTACCGCAACCGCTTTGTCGGCGGGTGAGACGTTCCGTTCACCCTACTCGACAGGTCGTTCATGAACAAGGACCAGTGCGTTGATTGCACTAGACCCGCGCTTCGCCTCGTGTGTGGTTGCTTGCAACCCCAACACTGCTGATTCGCTCAGCGATTCCGAGGCACCTTGCGCCCGTGGCTTTCTTCGCCACTACGTCTTGTTCGGCTAGGGCTACCGCAGCTCTAGCCCGGCTGTTCGCCTCCAGCCTGCAGTCGATGTACATCGACGCCTGGTTCCGTTAGGAACTTGGTCTTACCTCAAGACCAGGGAGGAAAGGTATTTCCGAGCCTCTCCTTCACTTACACTCGAGACTATTGAGTCTCTCGTGGCTTGTGATAGCCACTGGCAGCACGACGGCTACCTGCCTCTTGGAAAGTCAGGGAGGAAAGGTATTTCCGAGCCTCTCCCCCACTTAACCTCGAGACTACTGAGTCTCTCGTGGCTTCTAATAGCCACTGGCAGGCGCAACGGCTCTCCGCCATGTGCACTGCGTCGGTATGGTCGACCGCGTCGGCCGTGTCGACCGAAGGCATTCAGCCTTCGCGTCAGCAGTTTGAGTCTGCGCGACTTGACGTCGAGCGAGTTGCTCACGTCCGGCGAGGCCAAGACAACCTCGCGCCTCGAGCCAATGGCTCTGTGTGCGGCGCTATGTTACTCGCCTTGGGTGTGGAACTCTGTTACCCACGTTGGTTGTGTGGAACTCTGTTACCCACACCGGAAGCGCATACAGCGACTTCCTTATCAGTTATAGTCTGAGTGACCTTGCGTGGAACTTTGTTACCCACGCTCGGAGCACCGAATGTCGGTCTCTTTAAGCAGCTTCGCTGCTTGCGGAACTTGTTACCCGCAATGTGGACCTATGTTACCCACCTGGTGAATGCTCTTAGGCACCACCACTGTCGAAGCTCGTACGGCGCGACGACCTTCGGCGTTGGACGCTGCTGGTGTAGCAGGTCCACACGCTGGGTCAAAAGACTCACGTCCGTGGCATTGCTGCAGCAAAGCATGGTCTTGCTGTACGCAGAGCTGTTCGCGCGTTGACAGCTTCGTGACGCTTCTGCGTCCTGGCGGTCTGTATCAGACGCCCCCAGTCATGACGGAGGTGGGAACATGACTCACCAATGCTCCGTCATAGACCTGGACTGGTAGGCCCTTCTCAGCCCTTGCCACACCAAAGTCCGGGCTGTGCCTTTATGTTCGGCACAGCCATGTTGTTCATGGCGAGAACTGCGAGCGACACCGCGGTGCGCGAGCTCATCGAGCCGAAACGTTCAGGTCCGTTGAGGACCATTGATACTACCGTACCAAAGGCTAGTCCACCAAGGGCCAGCCCACGACCGCCACTCTGACATAGAGGCAGTCGGATGTCGCTATGCGAAGCGACGTTCCGGCGGCGTATCAACTCCCCAGAACTCATCAAACGTTCAAGGAGTACAGTACCCCCGTACACCGAGTGTACTACCAGCAGCCCACCACTGCCCTTCACCGGTTTGAGAGAACCACGTCTCTCTGGGCTAAGTCCCGTGGTGCGCACAACCTGCAACCCATCACGAAGGCTTAGCGCTCTTCAGTAGGGCATACCGCCTCTACTGGTGGCCGGGGAGTCTTCGTCCACCTGGCCGTGGCCTGCGCCACCGGACTTGGGGTCCACGGGCTGTCTTCTTCCCGAGGACGAGCGAGGGACACACACGCTGGTAGTGTCCGTGTCCGCCGCATCCATAGCAGCGGACCAAGCTCTCGGCTGA